CCGGTATCCAGTCGTGGTAATGTCTAACTTTAATCAATCTACAAAATTGAGCGACCGTCTTCCATTTCATTGAGGTAAATACGTGTCTCTATCTGACATCGACTATCTTCATTTATCACAGTCTATTACTAAAACTCCGTGGATTTGCACTGTTGAGGAGTCTCATACAAGGACAAAACGGCCGTTCAATACTTCCCGGTTTTCCATGGTGATCTAACATTAATCGATTCATGATCTCATTCAAAAACGTAACAATCTCTACAATTCCATACTGAAAATTATTTCTCATTTAAATCTAATCATATGAAAAATCATAGCAATAACAATAACAACAAGATATCAATAGATATTGTTATAATATCTAAACTACTTTTAACAGGATTCACAACGGAACAAAAGTGTAGTCAAACTTATGAACAATAATTGTATTAAGATATCATTTAAATCATAACACATAAGATATAAATGTCATAACTTTTGTATCTATTTGATCGAATTGTGTTAGGTCCCGATAAACATAATGGATGGTAACTTTGGGATCCATTTACGGACCAATACAAAACGTATATCAGTATTGGGGTTGTGGAGATTATTAAGTTTTTGATTGAGATCAACTGATGTTAGACCATCGTTGGAAACCTGGAAACACTGGACGGTCGTTCCGTCCTAGTGTGGGACTCCTCAGCAGTGTGCATCCACGATCCTGCTCATGGGATTCAAACCCAGGGCCTTCAGTCTCGCGCGCGGAAGCTTAACCTACTGGACCACTGAGCCAGCATCCAGTGGTGTTAATGTCTAACATCAACCAATCCACGAAATTGCGCGACCATCTTCCATTGTACTGAGGTAGATACCTGTCTCTACTCAACACAGATTAGCACCACTGGTAACGGCTTCTCACTAAAACTCCGAGAATTCCCTCACGAAGCTAGTCACTAGTGAGCACATGTTAATTATCAGTATTGGGGTTGTGGAAATTATTAAGTTTTTGGTTGAGATCATGAATCGATTGATGTTAGAACACCGTTGGAATCCCGCGAGCGGGATCGAGGATGCGAACTGCTGAGGAGTCCCATACGAGGACGAAACGGCCGTCTAGTGTTTCCAGGTTTCCAACGATGGTCTAACATCAGTCGATTCATGATCTCAATCAAAACCTAAACGTATATTTTTATCGTGTAATTCTTAAATAACTAAACTATTCACATTCATATTCCTCTTATTATAAGCTTTGTTTTGACCTATGAACCATTATCATACGTTTTTCCATTCTTGAATTATTGCCCTGTCTATTAGTCACTGCCTCCCACATTCACAACCACATTTGGCCAAATTTTGTACAGATGTCATTTTCTATTTTATGGTACGTTGTGGTCTGTTTGATTGGTATATAAACCCTGTATGTTTGAAATACACAATTCATATCACAAAAGCTGAGATTGGTGTTCTGGACTTAATTGGCTGGGCTAGACAAGAAGCAGGACCAATAAAGACTCTAGACCGCTCGTACGTGTTTTAATGTGTCATTGGTCTGATCAATAATTCACTACTCCCTAATTGGCGGTATCGTTACATTATCCATTAACAGGGCACTCAGGCCACAAATTATAACAAATAGTTTCACAGTATTTGGGCGCTGAGTTGATGTGAGACATTAAAGAGTAAGAATATATTTGTAAAATCTTAGCAAATAAATTTGAAGTAGAATTCAACAATTCACTTGATAATCTGGTTCAAGCTTCTGATGTTTGATTATGATTCCTCCCCCAAATGCCCTGGTATGGCCGAGAGTGGGGGGAGTCCGCTCCCCCTCTCGAAATGCTCTCATATGGCCACGCGTATACAGCCCCTGCCAGAGAAGTCCTACTCACTGCCTTCTCGTGGCATTACTGTTGTTTACGAAATCGAGAGGACGAAAAGCGAATTTCCGTCGCTTTAACCGGATCCCAAACCAATGGTGCACATGGGCTCCAGTATCCTGCGGGAACAAATGGCGTATGAACCAATCGTTGGTCACCGGCTACCATGGGACTGCATCTCCTTACGATGCTCCACTGCATTGTGGATCAGATCTTGAGGTAGAAGGCTCGGAGTGTGGCCCCCTAAGAAAACCACCTGTTTCGGTTTGGGCACCCGAGCAGTATCACAGCCCTCGCACATATCAAATGAGATATGTGTGGCGCATATGTATTTGGTGCCTTCTTGTACCGATATCTATGTGTTAAAATAAATAAATAATAAAAAGATTATAATTCCACGAAAAATCTTGGACTAGATTGCCAGGCGAGATGTTGGATTTATTTCGAATTCACTCGATGAGATTTTCAAGAACTTTTCTGGATCTCCCCAACACGTTTATTAGACAAAATTAAAACTGTTATAAAGTTAAAAATTATTTCTACAGGATTGATGATTTTTTCTAAGATGGTCATCAATTTTCCTCCTGCTAGAAGTTGGAAAACTCATTTGTCGTAAATAGTTTTTTAGATGATTCCACTTAGCTTTTATGATATTCATGTGGACTCCTTCGCTTTGAGAAATAAAATGGGCTAGACTCTAATTTATGGTCGAACCAATCAGAAGAGTTTTGGAGACTTCAAGGTTACGGCGCCAACTTCAGTACTTAGTGTTAACGTACGACCAGTTTACAGGAAATTTTGTACAAAACGTGATAATTAGGCGGCTATAACAAATAAAAGGGTGAGACTATAATTTGTGGACAAGTCAATCAGGTATAAGATAAAAAATCTTGGATTTTAACGAGAAAGCCTTTCATCCATTTGGTTAAATAGATTCCTGCCATTATAGCTCATGTCAGTTTGTGATGGAAACCCCATATATAATTTCTAACTAAGGTAAATTACGACAATTATTGCGTACTGGTTAATAAATGCACCAGTAACTCTGGCTGCAGCCATATACTACAATATATACGGATGTTTGGAGAGCGTACAGACTCTTACATGGGCTTAGTTATGTTCACCGTGTCGTTATCCACAAGTGGCATTTTGTGTACTCAATAACCGGAGTGCACATAAACAGTATTGAAACTATGCGGTCAAGGCTGAAAGAGTTTTTGAGACTTTATCATGGCTCCAGAGGCCGACTATTCTGTAGCCACATGGATGATTTCCTCTACTGCATGCATTACGATTTTAGAACCTTTTAACCTCTTTCTAACCTTGACAAGTTTTTGAACCACATATAAGAATTGTATCTATTTTATTTCCTTGGTTTTGTATAATATGTTTTTACTCTATATTGGCCGTTCGCTGATTGGCCAATACTTCGAAAAGTCACCTAAGATTCGTTCAAAGGTCGTCCATAAATTAGATTCTCGCCATCATCCATACGAACTGAGGTTCCTGACAGAATATATGTATATTACCGAAGCTTTCATTTTGCGGACTTCCCTTGTTAGAGACATTTATCCCTGAGAAAAACGTGCAAACGATTTATTCAGGAATCAGTTAGTACACTGTTTATGCGTGTTTGTCAAGCATTTGGTTCATGGTATTTTTTTATTTTATTCTATTTGTAATTAATCCATTAACTATTATGACCTTATAAGCAACATCGGACAGTGGCTATCGGTGCAATACAAGACGCGCGTTTCGTTTTATTTGGTAATATGGGGTGTATCTACATCTCAGATTTGATATTCAATCTGGTACTCGAACCCAGTAGGGTTAGCTACAGACACTATCACGTTATCCACTTAGCTACTGAGTCCATCTTTACTTATAATGCTTGTGAATTAAGTCAATATCGAGGCAATATACACAATATGTATATATGCCAATAAGAGACTGATCAATTGCAGTCCTAAACATCAATTGGAAATTTCAAGTAAACTATAACAGTTGAATTTATTATGACATTGTATACTATTGATTAGATTGAAATAAGATGATTGAATATAGGTATGTTACTCAACCATTTATCACAAATCTCCTGATTATATACATACTGAAATTTCTTGGTTACGTTACATTGTGGTTTTGGATCTTGCGTATAAAATCACGCATGTGCGTGTGTGTGTGTGCTACTTATGTCGACAGTTATAATTAGTATGTATCATCAATAGAAAGTGAAATGCTTGGAGGCAGAAGGCTAAGAAGGTTAACGAAAAAAGTATGAGAACACAGAATGATTGCTGTAGAAATGAAGGATTAGTGAAGTTGGAGATGATTGATTGGCATTTTGTAAATGAAGTATTTATTGTATGGTTCTCAGATTTTACTAAGATGTTCTGTAATTTTATGTTCCAATGCATTCGACTGTCCTCACTTGTGTTTTCGTTTACTAAAAATTACTCAAAAAATGATTATTAGATAATTAACTGGCTTTTCTAATGTTATGATCAATGGATTTACAATAGGTGAGCTTTGCATTGCTAATTACTAATTAACGCATAAGGTAAGAGCATTGGTTAACTCTGTACCTTTCATGCAGTTAAATTCATAATACTTTATACATTATTGTTTGTGTATCATTACATAATCATACCTATTTCATATTATTACTTAATGATATTGTCTTCGTTAACATAGTCAATAACGTTATCCACAGTTTATGTCATTCTTCCAATTCTTTCAAATCATCCTATCAGTCCTGATTCATTCATTCCTAATAATGAAGGTCTACTGTACCATATTCTAATTTAAACACATATGTTCAATGATCAATCATATTTGATGGCGAGACTATAATTTATGAATGAACCAATCAGATTTAGGATAACAGGTCTTAAACTTTGGGGCGAAATTCACTCACCCATTTGTTTAAATAACGTCTTGGCATTTTAGCTGATGTCAGTTTGTGATGAAAACCGTAAATCGAATTCCTAATCCTAACCATCAATTGTAAATCATAAGCCTTATCCTTCAAACTGCCTTATAACCCTCGTTTAACTCCAGTCAGTAGATAGACACTCTCCAGGTCACTTTGAAATCCCTTGCTTATCATTATTATCTTCATTCTTTTCTATTATTTAATAGGCTGATCAATCTTATCAAAATGCTATTGATGGTATACAACCAAATAATGATGAATATAATACAACAATTTATATTGAACCAACTACTGGTCTTATTATAAAAGCTCAAATGAAATTACAAATTAATATTGTTATTAAAAATAATAAAAAAATTAAACAATTATCTAATATTTCTAATATTCTATTACCTTTAGTATATTTTAATGAATCTGTACATTTAAATCAAACAATAATTGATCAAATCAATATGTTACTTATTCAATTACCAATAATTATACAATATGTTTTAAAAATTAGTATCGTATTCAATGTTCTATTGTTATGTTCAATTATATTTAAATTATTTAAACAAAATAGATATCATTTAAATGATCAAAGAATAAATGAAGAAAATCAATGGTTATTAAGTCATCATTGAAAAGGTGTCAAGGAAACATTTATATATACCTATTTCATGTAAATACTATAAGCCATATGATAAATCAGAACTCATTAATTGTTCTATTGTATTGTTTTTTTTTCAATGTTTTCAATATTTTTAATATCATAAATGATAGTAAATAAATCATTTGTTTTGAATGGATAGTTGCAACTTGGTCGATAGGATTTGGTCTACACTAGGCTGGATCTGACATACATGACATTGATCACTACTCAGTGATACAGGAGGACACTCGTGGCCCGGACAGCTCAGTGGTAGCATCTCTGACTGTGAAGCTGAAAGACATGAGATCGAATCTGTCAAGGAGAATTAGTTCCCATAAGATTGCAGGTATACCTAGCTGACGAGTACCAAATAGCACGAAACCTGGGTTCAAGTCTTCTTGTTGATTACCTACAACCAACATTTCATCTGAACATAGTGCATGCAATGTCGAATCACCTAAACCAACGGCCACATAGCAACTTGGTCGATAGTATTCGATCTGTACTAAGAAGGACCTGATATGCATGACATTGGTCACCACTCAGTGATCAATCAGTTGTAAATAATTTTTCTATTTCCGACTTACATCAGCATCGACAAGTTTAACGAGCGAATGAACGAAATCAGGATCGTCTAATGCTGAAGATCTAAATGTAAGGGGAATGATTAGTCTATTATTAAACCACAAAAAGTTTTCAGCATATAACAATATGTCTTTTTTCCTTTTGTAAAACTCAGGAAACCTATGTCTGTACTGAATATTTCAATTTTTTCTCACTACATTTATGACAGATATGAAATATTATCACACACCCTTTACAAGTTCTGCTGTACAAAAATGTATTGGTCGAATCAATTTTGGTATTTGTGCTAACTGATGATTTCTTTGCTCTTGATTGACTGCTTTTTGCGAATCCCATATATAATACGTCGAGTAGTGCTCATTTAGCTGCATCTGCCATAAGTTGCACTGTTTCAGGAGTCCTTAGGTAGCATATTAGTTCGAATACTTGTAATTATCATATCAACATGCAATAACTTTTGTTAGGTGGTCTTTCGAGGCATGAAAAGCGTGATAGAAAGTCTACATGTGAAATACTTTTAGCCGCTCAGTTCCTAGTGGTGAAATCGTAAGCACTCAACTCTGAATTCCGTTTCTGAACTATGGCAGCGGATGACATATGAATTGACTTATTTGAGGGATAGATAGATTTTAACACCTGATCGTCAGCTATAGTGTGGAACTTCACACCAAATGGGTATTTATACAGTTCCTTTACTACCCACATCACAGCTAAAGCCTGCTTTTGGGTCCGGAAACATTCTTGTTCATCCTTGCTTGATCGTCTCGAAGTAAAAATAACAGCTTTCTCATTCTGTCTTACGATAAAACCTAACCTCAGTGAAGATATATCCGTAGTAAGGATAAATTTTTCGGTCAGTGAAAACGGTCTGAGGAAAGCTTTACCGCTCAAATACTGCAGAGTGTTCCTAATATACCCTCATGCCATTTTCCACATACAAGCGCCTTGCTAGAAACTATGTCGAGAAGTGAAGATTATGTTTCTATAGAGTTAAGAATAAACCTGGAATAAAAGTAAAGGACGCCAACCGATGATTTGAGATATTCATTGGTGATGGTGCTTGCATCATTGGAGCTAAGCGACTCATATCAAGTCTAGAAACCTTAGCATCTACAACATAACATAGGAAGTTGAAACTGACACTTGTATGAATTTCCGGCCTTATTTGTATCACAGAAGCGTCTAAATAACTTAAAAAAACATATTCAATATGCAACTCGATATTTTCAGCATGGCATACGATGTGATTCTGATACGAGTCAACACCATAACCGGTCATGATTTGATGTATAGCATTCTGGAATCTGCAAGGCGAAAAATTGAATCTAAGCGGCAGGAACTTGCATCCGAACAGCCCGAACGGTGCATTATTAGTAGTTACTTACAGTCTTCGAACACTGTAAGACTAGATCTTTGATTAAGGTACTGTAAGAGTAGTTATTTCATATAGAAATGCGTACATTCAGCAATATCAATTCCTTTAACTCAAGTAAAGATGGACCATACTCACTAACCAGTAAAAGAAATATTGACACAACTACCCTCCTCTTTCCTAAATAGAATATCAGCTGTACCACTAACGGGTAACCGTTGGTCAGTGATGCCAGTATCTTCACTATTTAGAGGTTTAAAATGGATATCATCATAAAGAAACAGTAAATTTCTCTTAGAAATAATTGACTTTATGCTAATAGTAACGATAATAGACGAAAGGAACTTGCCTGTGTTGGTAGTTGAGTTTTGCATTAAATGTGAAGTGTTGCTGAAGGTGGTATTGAGCGACAAGCTATCCATTCTTCTGTCAAAACAGTTGGTCTTGATCCATCATTTTTCAGTGTTTTAGTGTTATACGACGTTAAACCGTTACAAACCTTTCATGTATGTCGAACCTTTCTCCACTTACGATGACGTGCATAACAAAATCGACATGAACTACAGCCTATTACATGAAAGACAAAGTTCTCAACCCCAGTCAATTCGGAATGTAGGGCTACAATCATCTTAATTCATGAGTAGACCTGATTAACTCCACTAGTTATGTCTGCTAGAAAAGGTCCCAAGAAACTCATGTTGTATCTAGTTGTAATTCCCTATCTATCCAGTGTGTGTTTTGACTGTTACTATATCATGCCTACTTGAGCTGTAATAGCTTTCGGACAGATCAGTTAATTTATTCTTCTTAAGTCATTATCCATGGTTGTATAAGTGAAGCGGATAGAAATATTTGGAAGGACCTAATTTAATCAGGATCATGTATGATGAGGCCCAGCGTTATTCGAGATTTGTAGACAAGAAACTGCTGTGGTGTTGGACAATTCTCCAAAATCACTAACGCGACGGATCTTCAAAAATAACATTGTCCGTGTTGGTTTTATGAAGCTTAACTAACTGGAGTTACAGCTAGATATTCATACTGAGTCATTGTACAATTTGCTTGACGCACTTCCTCCATAAAGTTGATACCGAGTCTATCAGTTTGACATTCGTCTCCATTATTGTTCGATATTTACGAAACGATATTTTCAGGGGATACTTTGCCAATGCAACCTTTACACACAGATAAATATACTACTCTCCCCAAATGTTATCATTTTCTTACTAACTAATTCTCTGATAGGTTAATGCATTTCATTTGAGCAAAAATCTTAAGTGAAATTAATATCAGTATAGGTCGATATTTCCGTACCAAACAATCCTTGCATTCGTATTATCAATGAAATGACACTGAAGTTTAGAAGTATTACCTGTCGATTTGAACATTCTTTCAGGAAGCGTTTATTTATTCGTGAGGGACAATAAGGAAGAGGAATGGCATAGATACCAACATAAGGCTGGTCAGGTTAAGAAATCATTGAATGTTGCAGTTGGGATTTAATATTATATGATATAAAGTCATGGAATTACAGTTCAACTCTAGTGATCGGAGACCGGTAATAAAATAACATAATCGAGAGTGATCAGTTTTATTATCTGAGCCAATGAACGACACCTGAAATATTTCTGCTACACTGTTCACAGGTTACAACACATCAAGTAGGCGTATGATAACAGATTTGCTACATGCTGAAAAGTATACATTGACCCAAGAGTTGTAGTAACGAACCAAAGAAACACATATGTTCATTGGAAAACCACCAACAACAAATAAAACGTTGCATAAATAACGAGATTCTGGCACGCTGATACACCAAAATTAATGTGACAGTAAAACCCCAGATAGAAAATAAACAGAACAAGTTATAAAGTCCAACTTATGATTGGGAGTCCATTTTATATTCAGTAGAAAAACACCATGTAAGTCTTTTTACTTGGTATTGTGTAGAAAACACGTGATATAGCTCCAGACCAATTAAAAAATGTTACTGACGCATAGAAGTTTTACGATACATGTAAGATCTTCCAGCAGATACTTTCCTAATTACAACACTATCTGTTATTATCCGGAGATTGAATGACCTTCACAATACCCGCCTGCATTGCTTATAAGCTTTACGGATGTTTTCAGCATTATGTAGGAGGGGATTCTTGACTAACAAAGTGTCACAATTTAGAAGTACCTACAGATGTGATCATTATAACATAAAAACCCATTTTAAGCCTTTGAAATGTAGTTCAGCACTGAGGCTTACTGTTGGCACTGGATTTTTCATTGCTCTGCATTCAAAGATATCTCATGAATCCCGGATTCAAGTTGTGCGATGTGAAGTTGATAGTTATCATTCAGATCACATCACAACTGCAGAAAGCTCAGGAATACCTCGGTACATTGGAGCACTGGCACTTCCTGATTGTGTATATTTATTCGGTGCCATTCTGGTATATCAGATTGAAATTCCAGCCTATTGTAATTAGGGTGCATTTGTAGCTGCAATTATGAACGTTTACATACCGCTTTACCTTGGGGATTTCGTTAGTTCACTGTCAAGATGCGTTGTGACTCACGAAGGGTTCATTTCTGCTGTGTATGTCCCTACACTTAGATTGTGCTCTTCCTATATACTACAGGTAGTTCATTTTTTGTGCTACGCACCTTTTACCCAAGTGTAATAAGGATTCATCTCTTGTAGTGTTTAAACGCTGTTATCGCATTATTCTTCAAGAGAATTAATGGTCGAAACAAAACATTAGAATTAAACCTCAGTAGATTACATGAAATTAAACACCAAAAAAGTTACAAGTTTTAATTGTTAAAGTGGTTTGCTTGTCTTGTTTATTAAAAAAAGTTATTTAAGTACGACCCATAATCAACAATCTGAAAGGATGTCGCAAGTTTGATTAATATATCTGGTCTTCAAAATTATAACTTACAAACTATGTTATGAATTCGAGGCAGTCTAACATAATTATCCTGATCCCAGTTAGTCTGGAACTGTGACAAAACACAAGCAAAGATTCGCATTTGAAGTGCACAGTATGAAACTGTTGTGTTGTTATAACATTTAAATAGCACGAAATACTGAATTATTCAGTGAATGTATTAGTTACTGTAAAAGTATGTATTTTTCAGCTTAAAGTGTTCAGTGTTAATGTTCTGACAGCTGGCTAGTGCCTGAT